CAAGATGAAACTCTTTTGTATTCATCTAGTCTAAGAGCACAAAATATGATATGGATGGCTTTGGAGTTGAGCTGGAACATTCTTGTCTCTCCTTCACTCCACAACCTTGGATGAGTGAGAGGCTTGATGTATCCTTCTTCTATGGCATTTCATGCTCCCATGTCACTTGCTTGAATGAAGCACATCATCATATTTTTCCAATAGGCATAGTTAGCTCCATTGAAGAAAGGAGGCTTGTTGACGGGCATCGAATCGAGACCGGAGTCGAAGTTTGAAGTGGAGGCCATTGATGACTTTGATTATCGACGTAACTCTTCCCGAATCGACTCAAGAGGTGATTAAACGTTCAAATGAGTTAGGCTCTGATACCAATTGTTGAGTTAATCGATCGATGGAATCGGCCAAGAGGGGGTGAATTGGCAATAAAAATTTTTGTGAAAGCTTTTACAGAAAATTGAAAGTAATTGTACAGTGATTTATAGTGGTTCGACTTTATCAACCAAAGTCTACGTCCACTACCTTAGCTATCCACACTAAGGATTTTCCAAAAAATTCACTAATTTGTTCTTTCTTTTGAGGCCAAAGAGATAACCTTACAACTCCCTCAAGAATATACCCCAATTCTTGATAACATTATTTTCTCAATGAGAAGATTACAAATTTCCAAACTTACAAGAAAAACCTCACAAGGCAAATATGTTTGTACAATTCTAGAACAAAGAAAGAACACTCAAGAATAAACACAATTGAGCACAATAAGTGTTCTTGAAAGCAAAATGAATATTGAATGAAAAATAGGCTTGAAATACTCAAACTTGAGGTTTGATGCTTTCTCTTTGATTTTCTCTTGATTCTAGTTGCTTGATGTTTCTTGTTATTGATCAATGGCTTCAGAACTTGTTTAAATACACCTTCAAATGATTCTGAATATTGGGGATGATTATTGGAGTCAATATAGTCGTTTAAGTGTGAAAATAATTAATGAAAGTGGATGGGAGCGTCTGTGCATCAATGCATGCCCTAGGTGCATCGGTGCATCAGTGTAAAATTCAAATATTTTGACCGTTGGACTCTCAGTGCATCGTTGCACTAAGAGTGCATCGATGCATAAAATGCATTCGATGTTTTGAAAAAACCTGAGTGCATCGATGCATAGTCTTGTGCATCGATGCATCAAATGCACTGAGTGCATCGATGCATGGTATGTGCATCGATGCATAAAATGCATTCGATGTTCAAGAAATTAATTGATGCATCGATACATGGATTGGTGCATCGGTGCATGCCCTTGAAAAATTGATTTTAGGCTTGATTTTGGTTCAAAATACTTTGTGAAAATTTGTTTAAAAATAGTTTAAGTATAAAACACAAATTTACACATTTAGTAAGGTTTAAAATTGATCTTGAAAGACTTGGAGTAATAGCTTGATATTTGAGTAATTAAATCGAATATACTTTTAGAAAATCATTTGTAAAATCTTAAAATTCATTTAACTTAATTTGTTATGTCGAAACATTAAAATGTTTTCAACAATACCAAAATACATTACTGTGACTTGACATAGCACTTGGTACTGATACCCCTACTTAGGTATCGGTACTCCCCTTTAGGGGTATTAGTACTGCCTAGAGTACTAATACTAAAATTATATTCAATGTTTTAAAAAATACTTAAGTATCGATACCTTTACCTTGGTATTGATACTTCATTCCTCATGGTATCAATACTGGCATGAGTATCGATACGAAAATTGCTTACTAGAATCTGACTAAGTCCCCGAATACAAATACTAGGCTCCTGAGTATCGGTACTCCCCGAAAAGTATTGATACCCCTTAAATGGGTATTAATACCCTCCTCACACAAGCCTTTCGAATTGGCCCATCTAGAAGAATAATATAGGTACTTTTCATAGAGTACCAATACTCTAAAACTAGAAAGAACTATTTCTCTCATGTAAAACCTCCCAAATCAATTTTAGACCCCTCTAAAGATGCCCAAATTGTATTTAAAGCTTATGTATGATTAAAGGGTCATGAAAGGTCATCACTTTATGAGTGAACAACACCAAATTCCCATTTTCATGGTATGAATTCAGATGCATTCCAAATGCCTCGTGCACACATACAATCATCAAAACTACACATGTTGATCTAGAAGCAGTAAAAAAATTATTAGAAGTGTGTTACCTTACACCTAGAAGCTGACGAATCAACTCAATGCTCACCCAAGCACAACTTTCTCTTTTCCATTTCTTTTATAGCCTTCACTCATTTTTCTCTCTAGAACAATCGAAAGAATGAGTCACTTACATAAGAACTAAAAAGGAGTTAAGGAAACTTCCAAGACTGAAATCTAACTTCTAGAGGAGAAGGTTTTTCTCCTAACTTAAACCTCATAAACCCCCAATTATAGCTCTTTAGCCAAACCAAGAGGATGAGAACTTAAAATAAAGCTCTAAGGAAGGGGATTACTAAACTTACTTTATTTGATTCAGTAAGGAAGTCCTTTCTCACCAAGCTATCACTTTTTCTCAAGATGGAGAAGAGAAGAGAATGAGTTTTGAAAAGAGGAAGAAAACAAGAATGAAGGGGACATGGTTCCAATGTGTGACATAATTCTATTTAATGAGATTCAACCTTTAAAAGATTTTAGGGTTTAATTGCTCCTTTAGTCATTAATTTTCTATGCTGAAATAAAAATACCCATTTTAAACCATAACGGGCTCAAAACAAACCCAAATTATTTCATAGTTGGACAAGAGCTTCCTATAAGTCTATTAGGTTTATTTAACTCTTTCTCAGGCTAACCCGAATCTACTAACATGTGAACCAGGGCATTACATTTACAATCATAATTATAAATTAAACATATAATTAAGATAGAGATGGTTAAAATATTTGAATCTAACAGGTTCTAACCAGATCCTATCTTATAGGGGTGCTTTTCATAAAAAAATTTCAAGATCGGGGTGGGTCGGGGCGAGCTATATGATAGAGAGATTCTGGTTGAGGTGAAGATGAGTTTAAGGTAAAACTCATCAACCAGACTCGACCTTATGTAAATTACTAAATTACCCTCTCTATATATAATATATTTAGGTTTTAGAGATTTTTCCTTTTTCAGTTTCCCTCTCTCCTCTTCTCGGTCACTTGATAATGGTAGGAGGATACAAAATCTGCTTCTTCATTCCATTCTTTTATTTCAAATTTTAGTTGTCTTTTTTCATTAATTTTCTAAGGTTAATCATTATGCAATTTTCTTCTAATTCTTTAGTTCTTTATTTGATATATATTTTATCTTTCTAGGATTCCTTTTTCATTAATTTTCTAAGGTTAATCATTATGCAATTTTCTTCTAATTCTTTAGTTCTTTATTTGATATTTTTTTTTATCTTTCTAGGATACTGCAATTGATAACTGGGTGTTTGCGTCTGGCTTGCTCGAATAAAAAAAAGCCATCATTGTTCAATATTTTCAACTTTTTATTTGTTTTCCTTGGTTTATCTGGTCAACCTTCACTGTCATTCAAATTTTAATTTATTATATAATGTAATAATGTTTTATTAATTTCCCACTTTTGCGTCTATTCGTGTATTTTCTTTTATATTATTGTTTTATAAGGTAATAAGTTTAGGGTTTCTCACAAATAAAAAGAGTTGATGCTTCAAAAATAATTGCTTCCTATTTTTCCAGATATTTATTCAAGCCATTTTTGCTTGAAGAACATGCTCACCATTTGCAGAAGAGAGCTGATTTTTGAAGTGTGAATGATCGATGTGCTTTTTGATTTGCTTTCTTTTTGTGTTTCTTTCGTAGTTGGGTCAGGGTCGAGATTCTATTCTAAAAATCAGAGTGGGTTTGGGGCGGGAAAAAGGTTAATAATCATTAGGGCGAAATGAGGCGGGTTAAAATAATTTAATTTTGGGATGGGATCGGACAACAAAAAAATCGGTCCGATCCGTCCCGTGCCCATCCCTAAATCAAAACATATTTTATAACTATTAACACGATAAACTAGCCATTGGAGATGATACAAGGATTATAAAAGGAAAATGTCAAAAATCTAATAAAAAACTCGAATAAAAGATAGGTACGAACAAATCTTACTGTATGGACAAACAAACCACAAAAAAAATCAAATTATTGAAATACTACTAATAAACCACAAATTAGAGTTGAGCGACGTGACAAAAAAATTCACGAACACAAATCATGTAACAAAATTTAATCCGAAGCTCCAAAGTAGAGAAGATTAGCAAAATAAAAAATAAGACTCATCTAGATTAGTCGAGACGTTTTGAAATCTAAATCTGAAAAAAGGTCAACATAAATAACGGTCAAACGAACGATAATTGGTAGAGGAAATCGTACCATCAAAATAAAGTTATTAAATATAAAAATAGAAAAAAAAATGTGATATAAAAAAGTAAAAAAAATACATACTATAGGTGACAAACAATAAGACTAATACCGCCATCTATTATATCAAAGATAAAAGAGGAATATGTAATTTGAGAAGAAACCTAGTAAGAACAAACTTAGTTGACTTCATTAAATCTAAATTTGATCCTTAGATAAGTAGCTTTTATTGTTTTAATTAAATATAATAAAAAAGATAAAAATAAAAGCAACATTATATATTATTATCATTAACATAAACAAATTTTTAAGTTAATTGTCCACTAATAATCAACCAATGACATCATGCACTTAATAATAATAATAAATCAACCTAGAAACACACTCAACCCCATCACAGTCGATCATACGCAGCACTAAAAACTAGACATAACCCACACCTACGCTCACTTCCATCTCCCTACGGCTCGGCAACCGCCCACGTTTTTGCAACATCAACGCCATATATACATACACACATTTATATATACATATTTATACAGCTTACACTTCTTGCATTCTTCCTGTATCACATGTTATTTCCACTAATCTAGATCTCTCTCTCTCTCTCCCAAATTTTCAAACAAAGCAACGAAAGAGATGTTCATGGTTAGAGACCACCAGATGTTGCAGTGTGATCTCATGTTCTGTATGGAGAGAAAGTGGAAATCCAACGTTGAAATTGCTCCCAATTGTCCTCGTTGTGCCTCTCCCAACACCAAATTCTGTTATTACAACAACTATAGTTTGTCTCAGCCTAGGTACTTCTGCAAAGGCTGCAGAAGGTATTGGACTAAAGGCGGTTCCCTAAGGAACGTACCCGTCGGCGGCGGATGTCGGAAGAGACAACAAGGGAAGTCGATGAGGGAAAGTGTCGAGAAAAGAGGTCGAGTTTCGATGTCTTGTAAGAATTCAAGTAGTTCTTTTTCTAATGAGGATTCAGGGAATCGACCCGATATCGACCTAGCAGTTGTTTTCGCCAAATTCTTGAACCAAAACTCAAGTTTTGATCAACCTGAGCTGAATGAAGATAACAATTCATCAATGGAGTGCCAGAAACCGGATGTTCATTCAATTCAGGAGCCTAACAGGCTTCGAGAAATGCCAGAAACCGATGAGATAGAGGCGTTCGGGTTACAAAGTTTGTTAGCAGCCGAAGATCAAGTGGTGTTACCGGACGGATTATGGACTGACCATGATGTTGCTGCAACAACACCAGACTTTGCATGGCAAATGCAACAATTGGAGTCATTTCCAGTGGATGATCAACTAAAGGTTTCTGCAAACTTAATGAATGAAGATTGGGGTTCTTTCGATCTTTCTGGGTTTGGAATTTTTTCGAAGCCTTGAAGTTGAAGCAACTTTTCCCAATTTTTTTTTAGTAATCCTTACATATACTGTATTCTTTCGTATTCCCTCCTCAATCTACTTATTTACAATATGAATTGGCTCAAGTTATGGAAATTACATCATTTTAAGAAACATATGAGTAATGCATCTTTTACTTTCGAACTCATCTTAAATCTACAATATCTTAATTTTTTAACGAATCGAAACAATAAAAGGTTGAATCTCGGTGACAGCAAAACATCCGATCTCTTAATGTAATTTTAATCTACATCACATGCATGTGAAGTTGTAAGAATAACACATGGGAACTAACATACGAGGTTAATGTGAATGCCTAAATCTTAGAAAAGGGTTGAGTACACATAAATCAATTAGAATGGGGAATATCTTTGGGATTTGGAACTACTTTACCTTTTTGAAGACGACCATCACATGATTCTGTCGAATATATGTTAGAATATGATTGTTTTATATTTAGTGACTTACATTTTAACTATTTTCTAAAATAATTATAAGAAAACAATAAAAGAATGATAAATGTTTTAAATATACTGTGAAAAAAATATTTTAATATATTTTAAGGTATTATGTAAGGGTGATATGATGAGAGGTAGCTTGATCTAAAAGTTCAAAGTCATTAAATTTTGAAGGAGAACTAATATTAAAGCTTTTGCCATGTGTAAGGGTAAAAAATTGCCTTTAACCCATTAAGTGACATGTAGTAAAAGAAAAAAATTATTCTTTTTAAAAGTCATTTATTTGAGCAATTGTGCTGTAGGGAGTATACGTTGTTAATATTCAATAAATTAAATTTTTTTAATAGATACTATATTTTAATCTTCTCATATTACTATAAAAAGACTACATTGTGTATTATTAATTTTTAGTCAGTGCATCATAAATTAAGAAATGAGAGGTCATTTTTTCTTATTTTATTATCTATATTTTTATTTGAACATGTTAATCATAAAAAATGTTATCTTAAATTTGATTCTAAGATTGTTAATTAGGGAACGAATTGTGGTTCTTTTCATACTGGCAAGGGAGATGTTATTACTTAAAAAATCCCAAAAAAATAATTTTTTTAAAATAATACACCAAACCCAATTTGTTAGAAAAATAAGAAAAGTGAGTAAAGGCCTCGCGTTACACGGGGCGTGAGATTTTTCCCAACGTGGATACACTTTTCAGAGAATGAAATTTAATATTTCAATTAAGAAAAGTGAGTAAAGGCCTCACGTTACACGGGGCGCGAGATTTTTCCCAACGTGGATACACTTTTCAGAGAATGAAATTTAATATTTCAATTAATGACCTTGCGTTACACAAAACATGAGGTTCTCAAGATATTGAAATGTCTCAAGAAATTTCAAGTATCGCGTCTTTTGGACGGACCTCGCTGTTTGCGAAATGCGAGATTTTCATCCTCTTCGAAATTAATTTAATCATTATATTTTTGTATAATATATAATAAAATAATAGAAAAACTATATCATTATAAATATATAATACTAATTAAAATTAAAAATTCAATATCTATGTAAAATGTTATAAAAAAAGAATCATACATAGATTGTTATAGTCCATCTGCCAAACTTGGTGGTATGAATTACGCGAAAAGTTGTTAGAAAAATTGCAGGCATCAATTTGTTCTAGGAAGGCAATGTTGTGACGACTCCATGATATTAAGCCTAAAAATGAATCCATCTCCGAACGAATAACTTTTAAATTTATTTTCTTATAATTGGCGATGTCGAGGGCTTTCACGATTCGAAGTCTTTCATCTCTTAATTCAACAGAACAAATTAGAATAAGACCATAAACATATATGGCGTTGATATTACCTTTATTGGCTACTTTCTTCAAACAATGTAGACCTAACTCTTAGTTCCTTCCACTAAAATAATTATACATGTCGTCTCTATATAAAGCTTAATGATTATTAGTAGCAAGACATCTTCCATGAAACGTTTTCTTGGCTTGATTCCAAGACATGATGTCGAAATTTTTCATTGAAACATTTTGAAAAATTTAATTGTGATCCACAACTTCATGAAAAGTCTTGCAACTCAACTGTGTGTTGACGAAATCGACGATAAAATTAGAAGCCACATGCACAAGAACTTTTTATAACACTTCTCTCGGGAATAACTCCACAATATTAAAACATGTTTTCTTTGTTATTTTTCTTTAAAATATGTTTAGGATACCTTCCAAAATGGGCCTCTATTTATAGTAGTCCTCACACCTGTTCCGAAGCTAGGAATCCCGAACCTCGCGTTTTCTAGGACTCGAGGTACGTTGAAAATGCATGACACTTTAAATCTAATAATATCCAACATGTCAGAAAGGAACTCACATTACACAGGACGTGAGGTACATTGAATTTGAATCAAATAAAATCTAACGTGACAGATTTGACCTCGCTAGCTACAAAACGCGAGGTCATAAATTGTAAAATACAACCCGCATCCCTTTTCTTCATATCCATGTTGTAGGCGTTCTCCCGGGTTGTCAATTGTAAAATTATTTTAATTTATAAGATTAGTGCATAATATTTGAACTTATCTCTAATTTTTGTCTAATATCAGCACATACGAGACATTATAAGCAAGGTAAAAATCAAGTTCAAAATGGTACCAAAGCTTGGTTTGTGCATGAAGAACAAGCTAAAATGGATTGATAGACTTGTTCGTTGAGTATTTTTGGGAAGTTAATAAAAATATTTGTGTAATGTTTGAGCTTAGAGGCGTAATATTGCAACTTATCTTTTAATTGAAACTGATATGACACATATGAGAAATTGTAAGCGGGGTACAAATCACTTTTAAAAAGCTTTCAAACGAAAAGAAATTGAAAACTAACGAACATATTTTTGTAAATAACTTGTAGTAGGGTAAACAAGTCCAAAAATTATATGAAGCTGTTGATGTGTGTTGCATATCTTAGCACACGAGACAAGTAGATGTTGCCACCAAAAGAGAATGACTTCTATAATAAATGGATACCAACATGTCAAAGAAACTCAATGTCAAAGAAACTCAAAGGAAAAATTTGTCTTAGACTTGTGTTTTTGGTACACTCGGTACAAAATGCAAAGAGAAAGCTAATTAGCATTTCTCAAAGGGTGTTCACTTGGACCTAATTGATGGAGTAAGAAGCCACCGGAAGGATGCCTTGTATAATGAAATACAGGACCCTAAAAAAGCTCATAAGGTTTTTGAGAAGTAGGCAAGAACCTCATGTTGTGCAAGTTTATCTTGACTAAGAATAACAATATCGATTATATCCGATGCTATTGGAGCACTTATGATGCATATCTAAGAATGGAGAAGAAAATGATACCACCAAAAGAGGATGCCTTGTGTTCTTGGTACCGTTAGTACAAAATGCAAAGGAAAAATTCAGTAGCATTTCGGGAAGTATAGAAAACCCTCGCATCTTCCAAATTCTTCTTGACCACAAAGAATAATATTTTGATATATCCAATGATGTAGAAGCACTTCTGGTGCTAATCTACGCACGGAGAAGAAAAGAATGCCATCGGAAGAGGATTTCTTTTTTAAACTAGAAGTTTTATGAGAAGAGATAATTAGGTTTTGTAACACCCTTATCCCGTATATATCCCCGTATACGAGCTAAAGATGTCACATAAATCATACAAAACTTATACTATTCAAAATCCAAAAAAAAATTGTTTTGTTTAAAATCGACATTAGAATAATTAATTGCATTTAAAAACTATAATATAAGATTTATCTAAACAGAAATAAGATACTAATCATATATAATTTAATCAAAAGTAGTTCAGACATATTCAAATCAGAGCATCAAAAGACATAAATATATACATACCAACTAGAATAACAAAAACATCGAGGGGGTGTCATACTGATTCTGGATGCTTGAATTTGTCTGCAAAAATATGGGATGTCGTGCCTAACTCCTTACTCATTTGTCTACTTTTCTTTACCTATGTGTGAAACGATCACAAGCTAAGTTTTCCACTTAGTTAGGCAACATAATTAAATAAATAACATATAAAAATGAACAATTATACAAATAACTTTATTAAAATGAATCATGCATAAAATAAAAACTATTATCAAAATTCTTTAATTTAAAACAGGTATCAAATGTACATTGTTTTATTTCGATTCATAATGTTGCCCATTGTACTATCATGATAATTTATGGTACGTGATTCTATGATTGAGTGTTTAATGCAATGTGCAATATAACTGCCTATGATTGAGTGATTGCACCATAGGTGCCCTGTGAATGTACAAGTATTGTAGAACACATCAACATTGTACCTATGAATCCCGAATACATAAATGTATCCGGTAACTATGATGTACATAAATGTACCTCTATGTGATCGATCAATAACACTCCACCTCTTGGCATGCCAATTGTACCACTACCTCTCAATGTGCTTTATTCAAAATCATATACTATTTTGCATATAAAATAACCATCCATTCGAATATAATAAAATTTAAATAAATGTTATATTGGGCAGTTCATACCCAAATCTATCATATGATATGAAATAAAAAAAATTAATAAAAGCTATGTTCAAATACTATTTTAAAACCATTTTCTATAAAAACGACCGAGATTGACTCTTCGCAAGTCTTCCTCGTATTATCTACTATAAAAAGTTTAGATGCACTCACTTGTTGCCTCACTAGCTTTATTTGTTACTATTGATTCAGTCTCGAGCTTAATCCTTTTTCTTTTAATTTGCTTTGAACTTGAGAACAATCATGATCTATACGAATATTGATTATCCCGATATAAGTAATTTCAGACATATATTAGTACTTTAAGTAATACAATAAACTTAAATTCAAATAAAAATGCTAAAATAAAAATGCTAAAAATGCTATCGACGTATAATCAATAAAATTTCTATCACCAGTCGAGAACAAACTTTAATTTCACTAAATTAATTTGTCAACTATCAAAAAATGGTCATTCGTCACAATAATCAA